GACAACGAGGACACCACAGAACAGGCAAATGCAGGAGGGTGGGTGTGGCGAGAGGGAAAGGTGGCCAAGAAATGCCATCCTCGCCAGGCCCAGGATGTGCTGAGGAGGGTGTTCCCCTCTGCTGCTGACAGCGGTCACTGGTCACCCTGGACGCGCTGGCATCCCCTGCCCTGCTCATCACACTTTCCACTCGCACTCCCATGGCCACCACTCAAAGCTGCTCTGCCTAAAGCTCTTCACATCTCCTCACTGTGGACTGTGAACTTCCTGGTCTTGACCAAATGGGTTACCTTCGAGCAGAGCCCTCTTCAGGAAGAGTAGTCTTTGCTATACCTGGAGCTCCTCCTCCAAATTTTTTTTATTTGGTGCTGCTCTGTTGTGACACTTGTCATTACAGTGCAGAAAGATGGAAAACAAATTGCTTTAAATGTGAAAGCAAACACCCATTTCCTCCTCACCTCCCTGTTCCTCCTCCCCAGCAATGAATTGTGATTGAAATGATACATGATGCTCCTCCTGGCAAGAATGAGTCTTTATAGAAGGTTTTTTCTTCATGATAGGTTGTAGAAGGCAGATGGCAGCTTTGTAATGTGTTTTCCCTGGCAGGCAACACGTTATCTGGGGCAATGGGAGCGGAGTGCCAGCTCAGGGAGAGCAGGGCAGCTGGGGAAGGTGGGCTCAGGAGCTCTCCTAGGCTACAGAGTGCAAACATGTATGTTGCCTGAGCGTGGACCTGCTGCTGGTGCCATCTCTTACAAGAATTGCAGGGGGATTGTTTTTTAACGTTTTGAAAGTTTTCCAGTGTTTCAAGCCTTGGGTTTGTTTGCTGTCTGGTATGGAGAACACTTTGAAAAGCCCTGACTTTTTGGTCCTGCAGATGGACCTATCTCCTGCACTCTGGGATAGCCTGCTTCAGTGGAACCAACCCTGGAACAGTTTGAGGAAGGGGGAAATAGCCAGTGGTCAAAACAAGTGGTAAAAGAGGTGATTTCCCCCATCCTTCCCAAAAACTTCTTTTCCATGAGTCAGTTGTGCAGTTCTTTCCTGCATTTGTGGGTTGAGCCCTGAAGGCTGTTTCTGTCAAGTAACAGTCTGTCCTTTTTTGGCCAAAAGAGGTGATAACCTTATTGTGGCCTTCCAGTATCTTAAGGGGGCCTACAAGAAAGCTGGGGAGGGACTTTTTAGGCTATTGGGTAACGACAGGACTAGGGGGAATGGGGCAAAGCTGGAAGTGGGCAGATTCAGGCTGGACATGAGGAGAGTGGTGAGACCCTGGAATGGGTTGCCCAGGGAGGTGGTTGAGGCCCCATCCCTGGGGGTCTTTAAGGCCAGGCTGGATGAGGCTCTGGGCAGCCTGATCTAGTGGGAGGTGTCCCTGCTCATGGCAGAGGGGTTGGAACTGGGTGATCCTTGTGGTCCCTTCCAACCCTGACAGATTCTGATTCTGTTTTTGCAGAGGACTTGGTAGAGTTCATGATCTTAAATTTCGCTTCCGATCTAAAGGATTCTATGAATCTGTGATTCTAAGTGCCTGGGGAGGGTGACCTCACCCAGTTTTGCTCCTTCAGGGTGACCTCTGGCCATGGTGAATGTTGGACCCTGATTAATACTCTTGTCTGTCCTGTAGGCTCCCAATAGCAGGCGATGGCCCAAGACAGGAACTGAATTCCCACCAGCCAGGCTGGCAAACACAGAGGAGACTCTGGGGCCTGACTTCCACCCCACTGGCTGCAAATTGGGTTAAGTGGTGTTTGGCCACAGCTCATGGTACCAGTTGCAGCTGATGGAAATGTGTTTTGACAGCATAGCTGTGCTGATTAGAGACAGGAGTTATTTGCAGACTTCACTATGGACACTCCATAGCTGCTTTGTGCCAACACTGAAGCTCCTGCAGAGGAGATTATTTGGATCAGCCCTGGCTGGTAGAAAGAGCAGACAACAGCAAACTGAGGGAAGAGTGTTGATCTGCTTGAGGGCAGGGATCTAGACAGACTGGATTGGTGAACTGAGGTCAGTTGTATGAGGTTCAACAAGGCCAAGAGCTAGGTCCTGCACTTGGGTCACAACAACCCCATGCAATGCAACAGGCTTGTGGAACACTTCTGAAAAGCTGCCTGGTGGAAAAGGACCTGTGGGTGTAGGTCAACAGCCAGCTGAATATGAGCCAGCAGTGTGCCCAGGTGGCCAAGAAAGCCAACAGCATCCTGGTCTGTATCAGTGATACTGTGGCCACCAGAACGAGGGAAGTGGTTGTACCTCTGTGCTTGGCACTGGTGAGGACACTTTTCAAATACTGGTTTGGTTTTGGGCCCCTCACTACAAGGACATTGAGGTGCTGGGAGCATGTCCAAAGAAGGGCAACGAAGCTGGTAAAGGGTGTAGAGAACAAGTCTTATGAGGAGCAGCTGAGGGACCTAGGGTTGTTTAGCCTGGAGAAAAGGATGCTCCCTTTCCAGCTGCCAAGTGCCAGGATGGAGTGCTGGTGTGGGAGGAGGTGTCACTCGTGTCGCTGGCTGTAGCTGTCGTAAGTGGTGAGAAGAGATGGAGTTGTACAACAGAGGGATTCAGAGAGGGCTGGATGGCCCTCGGTGGCTTTAGGGGTGGCCTTGCCGAGCAGCTGAGGAGAAGGGCACGCCTGGCTTCCACAGCAGCTCTAACCTGCCACTGGGAAGGTCACGCACTCGCTCTGCACTCTTTGCCCTCTGCAGCAGCAACGTGCTCGACCCCAGGCACCCCCAGGAGCAGGAGGGTGGGCTGGCAGTAAGGGTCCAGTGTAGGCACCTCCACGTTAGGGCAGCCACTTTCACTTCTGGGGACTAGTTTCTGCCTCCTTTGTTTCTCTCTCCCTGTAACCGCCTGATCCCAATCTTGCTCCCATGCAGCCTTCCGTTGTGCCTGCCTGGTCCTGGGGCACAGCAGCGTCTCGGGGCGGTGGCATTGACACGAGCGGAGCTGGAGAGAAGCACGCTCAGGGCCCAGGTACACACCTACAGCAGGGGCGGGGCTATTCTGTCCCCTCACTCCCAGCGGTAAAGCTGCAGGGAGCAGCTGTCCCCAGGGACCTGGGGTTTGCTGGGACCTCCGTAATTGCCCTGCCCCATCCTAACCTAGTGCTGGAGTTGGGGGAGTGGGGACTGTCTATCCATGGGCAGGATTTCACAGGTCCTTTGAGGAACACGGGGCAGATGGTGTATTTTAGACCCCTGGCTGCTTGTCAGCTCACGTAAAATCAAACAGGTATCGGCTTCAGTGGGACCAGAGCTGCCGAGAAGCTGAAACAAGCAGTGCCCATAAGCAGTGGCTGCAGGGTACAAAAAGTAAAAACAAGGGTGTGGAGCGCCTCTTGGAACACCAGGTTTTGTGGGCTATGGTGTGGGGCTCTGCACAGGGCCCTGGCAGCTGTTTCCCCTCCTGACTGCCCTGGTGAGGCTGTGGGCAAGCACACGTCCTGCCCTCTGCACACTGCAGTCTTTCCTCCAGCCTGCTATTGCTGAGTAGCCATGACTTAGAATGTTTAGCCCCTCTATTAAAATACCGGACATCTCACTGCAGCCACTATTATCCTCACGAGTCCCATGGGGGAGATTTGGGAGGTAATGAGAGAGTAGGAGCCTTTCACCTCGAGGGCATCTCTCAGCATCCAGCTCCCTGTGCAGAAAATGCTGACGGTGCTTTGGCTGGTGCCCAGGCTGAGAGCTGCTCTCAGGAGCTTTTTCTCTTGGCAATTCAAATTGATCATGACACTGATGGGGACAGAGCTGCAGGCAGGGGCACCTCCACATTCCAGGGCACAGCTGCAGCACTCCAGGGTGTGCTGGGGTATCCCAGTGGCAGAAGCCCTGCTGCTCTTCTCACTCCTGCACTTGCAGCAGAGGTGGGAAATAGCACCAACTGGTTTAAGGTTTTGGGAGACAGAAGATTACCCAGGAGTGATGGGTCCCTGGTACCCACTCTCCCCTGGTCTGCCCACTTGGAAGCTGGGAAGCAGTGGGAGGGTGGGCTGGGGATGCCCTGTTCCACCTCCTACACTTGTAAATCCTTGCTGGTGCCAGGTGGGAGCTTGTAGTTTGTGACCCCTGTACTGATGTCCCTTCCACAAACTTCTCCAGTCTTCTCCTGTGCTCCTGTAAACACCTGTATTCACAAATGTTCTACCCTCACTCTGCTTGTGCCAATGTCAACAAAAGTGTCCCTGCCAGAGGGGTGCTGATCTCCCCAGCTCTCTCCACGATGTGGACTTCTGTTACCTTTCTGTCATCACTCTGTCCCTTTCCCAGGATGTTGCTCTCCTCCCATCATTTTCTGCTTGTAACACACCCTTGTAAAGACACGGGCCTGGACCTGCATGGCGCATCCATTGCAGGTCCTTCCTCCTCCTCCTGCAGCCACGTGTGCTGGTGCCACCACCAGCTGCCCCCTTTGACCCCCAGCAGCCTCAACAAAAGCAGCATGGGGCTTTGCCGGTGCTGCTGCGGCGTGCGCCGGGTAATGAGCAAATCAGCTGGTGGCCAAAGTACAATTACAAGTTGTCGCTGGGAGCTGCTCTCTTCCAAGTGAGCTAATTCAAAATACGTTGAGCCCATTATTAGTAATTACAAGGTAGCTGGTGTTCTGCAGGGGAGAGCGGTGTGGGGTGTGCACACAGTGGGTTCACGCTCACCACCCTTTAGAGGGACCTGGACAAGTGGAGGGGGTGTGGATGGCGAGGTCCAGTGAGCTGAGCGGGTGAGCACCACCACTCTTGCCTTCCTGCCTCCTTCCTCAGCAGCTCTTCCAGGGTCCCCAAATAATTGGGGAGCTTAGGGAAGGAGCTGAAAGCAAACTGGCTTCTGGAACTGAGCAAGGCTTTGGCTAGTGCTGGGGGAAACCTGCCTCTTGTACTGGTTGACTCCCTTCTTTCTACAGCCTCCTCAGGACTGAGCTCATCACGTGCCCCTGGGGAGGTCCAAGGTCCATCTGGGCAGGGGCTGTGGAGGCGAGGGCTGGGAGTCCACTGCAAAATGAAGGACCTGTTCTTCCTCCTCCTTGTCCTGCAGCTCCTCGGTGAGTATGCCCAGGGCCTGGTGAGCAGGGGTGACCGCTGGATGACTTCCCTGTTTTGGGTGTGCTTCTGGCAGTCCTGTCTGGGAGCAGAGCCACAGGCTGTCGCTTCAGGCGTATCTGTAACGCAAATGGGAAGAGGCATTTCCAGCTGGACGGAGAGCAGGCAAGGGGATGAGGCTGGGATTAGTGCACCGTGCCTGCAGCTTGGGTTTTCCTCCTCTTACTTGAAGCCGGCGGCTCTGCACTGCGGGACACGCTCTCTGTTGAATATGCATGTTGCTTTGATGTTCAAGGACTTTGCTTCCCTGGAGACAAGGCTGATTAAATAGCACGCTGATATTTCCAGGGCTGTGGAGGGTGCCGGAATGCATCAGTGCAGCTGCATGGGGGAAAGGGCTTTGCCACAGGAGATTAACCTCCCTGGCCCCAGAGCCCCTGGCGGGAGGATGCCGATGGAGCTGGGTCAGCACATGGAGCCACAGTCTGCAGTGGGGTGGGGTGGGGTGAGCTGGCCTGACACAACACCTTGCAGCTGTGGGAACATGAGGGGTGTGTGTAATGCAGCTGGTTGAGCTTCCTGATGGAGCTTTAACCTTTCTGGTCCCTGGCTTCCCAGGGTGGGAGGGATGCAGGTCAACCATAGCAGGGACAGAACGATTTGCAGTTGACATCTGGGGGCTTTTTCCTTTCTTCATCTCTTTCTGACACCCAGCCAGCAAAGTGTTTGTGCCCGTAACACCGCAAAGCAGCTGCCTGGGCCCTGTTCTTACCACTGTCACAGTCTTTTTCCCCCTCTGTGGGTCTTGCAGTGGATCTGGGGCAGGGGCTGTTGCCTCTGTCTGAGGGCTCCTTCAGGCAGCTGAAAGCCAGGGCTGCAGCCTGGTGTGGTGCCAAGATCCAGACCCTGTTTCTACACTGGGACTTCCATCCTGGTTAAAAACTCATCACCTGCCCTTCATCGGGACATGGCTACATACAGCAAATGGTCTCAGCAGAGCCCCTGGCAGAGCTGGGCAGTGGGAATTGCACTCCAGGGTGATCACCCTGTGCTGATAAAGCCTCTGCAGAGCCCATTTAGCACATCTGGCTACATCTTCACCCGTTATTTGAACTAGCAGGGCCCAGGCTTTCTGCAGTACACCTCCTTCCATCAACTGGAGTCATTCATGCCTCCTTCCCATGCCAGGCCAGGCCAGGGGTCCCTGTGCCCCCTCCCCATGACCTCCAGTGCTCAAGTCCCACTCCACTGTGCAGTCCCCTCCACCACAGGCTTTATACGTATTTTGTATTTTTGTGGGTTTTTTCCCCAAAAGGAAAGATAATCCATATTAAGAGCAAAGGGCTTTTTTTCTTTTTTCTCTCTTTTATTTTTTTTTTCCTCCTGTCTTGTAACTCACTTGCCTGAAGCCATTTAATTCCAGCTACTGGAGATGCATCTGAAGCTGAATGTGCATCTCCCAGCCAAGCGTGGGCCGTGTCAGGCCAGGAGACGTGTGACTCTGCTGTGCTTGTGCAAACAGAGCGGGGCTCAGTGAAACCCACCTCTGCTGTGGCCTGTCCCTGCAGGGACCTGTGGGCAGGACAGCTGCTGTTCTGGCAAGCCCCATGGGGAAGATCTCTGTTTCCCAGTCTGCTGGTGCCTCAGGCTGCAGGACACTGCTGATCCTGCCCTCCAGCCCGAAACACATGAAGCCAGCCCATATTTTGTGCTACACGTCCCATAGCAAACACCCTTCCTCCTCTCACCCTATCCTTGCGGTCCTGCTGCCACTGTGTGCCCTCTCTGTACCTGCTGGAAGCTCCAAGGCCATGGGGTATCCACACCTTCCATTGAGTGACAACAAAATCCACTGCAATGAATGGTTAGGTACCAGGTGTGTGTTATTCTTGTCCATTGTCTGTAGGACTTTCCTGTCTTCACTCTGCCTGCCAAGTATTTGTCCCTCAAGCCTCTTCTGACCCGGGTGGGTAGAAGCAATCACTCAGCCCAACACAGCTCCTGTGCAGAGGAGGGCTGTGAGTGCTCAGCTGGGAACACCCAGTGGCTCTTGGTTGGGAAATGCCCAAATATGGCCCAGAAAGGCCAACCCATCCCATAGCACATCCCAAAGAGGGCTCCCAGTGCCTCCTGTGTTTATATTGGTTTCCTTGCTCCTCCCAGCTGCTGCCACCGCCATGTACAAGCAGTGGATCCCCAACACCAACTTTGAAACTGCCTCCAACTGGGATAAAGGCAGAGTTCCCTGTGCCAGCGACATCGTTCATTTTGAGAAGAACAAGGTATTGGGCATTTTAAGTTATTTTTTTTTTCCCCCCAAACACCATTGAGCATCAGAAAAACCCTTTCTGTGCTTGGGGAAAGCCTGCTTTTATTTTTCTGTTTCTTACAGGTCATCTCGGTCTTCGTCAGGTCTCCCCATGAGCTTACGGACATGGTAAGGCACTGGGAGGGTGGGCGAGGGCAGGGCTGGTGCTGGAGCACTGCCAGCTGGGTGGCACGTCCCACTCTCCAAGGACCCGGACATTCGGCTGTGTGGTCCTGCCAGACCGAGGATACCTTGGCTGGGGTGGGGGATGAGAGTCACAGCATCCCAGGTCTCTCAGTACCATGGAGCCAAATAATATATTTTTTGGATTATTTTTTTTTCCATTGGTGGATAAAGGCGGAAGCACTCCAAAACCCACGTTAATTTGGAATAAATTAATTTCTCCTTCCGAAAGGAAGGAAAAAAGCCCCTCCATGGGACTGAGACCTTGGCAGTAGTTTGCAGAGGAGCACCAACCCCTGGCATTGTTGCTGCAGAGCAGGCTGTAGTCCTGGGGACTAAGTGGAGCTGCCATCGAAAGACCTTGAAGTGAAAACAAACCATTCTGGGAAGTCCCAGAATGTTGCCTGAGATATTTCCTTTCAAGTGCCATTGGTTTTTATGTTTTCCTGTGGTGCTATTAGCCCAGTCATGGCAGGATGAGCACAACACCCCGCTGAAATGTGTGTGTTGAGTGAGATCAGGTTGCGGGGGCTCACCTTGGAGCAATCAATGTCCCCCCAGAAGAGGAGCCTTGCCCAGAGCAGGCTGCCAGGCAGCCATGAAAGCCCAGGGTTTTAATCCCCACAGTGTGGAGGGTCAAATTTAACAGGGAGAAAGGAATTAAAGGGAAAAGCCCCAACACATTGGTTCAGGATCACAATGCCAGGATTGCATGAAATGGGCTGGATCCTGTTTGCAAAACCTCCTCCCCTGGGTGGGACGAGCTTGTGGCCCAGTTTTCCCTCTCAGTTTTAGGGCAGTTTTGCTCTTTTATTGGCCATTAACTCTGAACAAGCCCTTGAAATTTATGTGGTGTAATTTGTTCAGGCTGTCTACACCACTAATAGTCTTGATGCTTTAATAATGCCATGTGCCACATTTAATCCCTCTACAAATATTTGGAGGAGTTACTTTATTTATATGGCATTTTAAATATGAATTTTTGAAGGAAAGAATGTACGGGGAAACACGTACAAATATAATGTAATAAATGAAGTGGAATTTACCCAGAGAAGAAAAGAGCAAAATATCACTCCAGTAGACTTTATTTTACTTACAGATGAATGTAGAATATTTCTAAGGTACTTTCAGCAGAGGCCGGCAAAGTGCATAACTGCAAAGCAGTGTTATTCATTATGGCCTTTCTCAACCAAGCTAAAGAGCCAAGGAGGAGAGAAGGGCTGAGGGGCCCACGAGGGAATAGATCACGGCAGCAGCACGGGCTGTGAGAGCACGGCACCATCTCCCTCCAGCCAGGGGCTCACCCCCATGGGAGCAACCAAGTTCATCCCAGTGCTGGAGCTCACACCTTCCTTCCGAGCATCCACCCCAATGATTCATGACAAGCTGCCCCAGCAAGCTGCCTAGCGTGGTGCTTAATTTTTCTTTTTCATTTCAGCAAAGCCACTTCCCTCCTGTGCACTGCTGTGCTCTGCTGTCACCAGGTGATACAGAGACTGCCAAGACTAGGGATGAAAAAAGGAATGAAACCCAGCACCTGAGACAATCTGCCATTTTTGGGGATGGTGTGAAATTGGGCAACTAGGTGGTTAGAAAATGAATTGGTGGTGAGGCTCACTGCAGTGAGGCTGGGCTGCACCTGCTCAGCAGCCGGCCGTGCCGTGCCGGAGCATTAATCACTTAAATCAGTAGGAATACATTAAGCTTTAGAGTCACCATGGAGATGCTGTACGGCCTTTGGCCAAAAAAAAGAGAACGTTACTTGTTATAGTAGCGCAGGAGGAAATTCGTGGCTGGGGAAGAGGCTGGGATTTCATACACTTTCATGAGGTAGTGCCTGCCGTGGCAGGCATGGGGGTGCTTGGTGCCGGCGCCCTGTCAGCAGAGGGGCAGCATCCCAGCTGCCCAGCTCAGCAGAGTGAGACCTGAGGTGCCAGGGTGTGCCCATGTGCCACCACCAGCCCCCCATGACACTTGGGGTGCAGGAAACGCTCCTGCACAGCGAGCCCCACAGCTCCCCTTCCCGTCTGGCCATCCTGCGCGGGCACCGGCCCAGCACCGGCAGCCACCTCCTCAGGAGGAGCCGGGGGCTGTGGGACACGCAGCCCACCTCCCCGCTCGGTGGAAGCCCGTTTGCCACCCATCTCCCTGGTCGTTTGCTCTGAAGTTCCAAGCGGGTCCCTGATTCAGCCCCGCAGTAAATCCAGATCCCGTGTATGCCTAAGTGCTGCGGAGCAGAGCCGCCGTGCCGGGCGGGGCTGGCAATGGTACTTGGCTGCCTGCAGAGGCAGAGCCCCGCTTCGCCAGCTTTCAGATGCGCATGCAGCAAGTCTGCAAAACGGTGGAGGTGCTCAGGGTGACGGTGCCTGCCGTGGGTGAGCCAGGGCAAGGTGGGCTTTGGCTTCGCTCGTCTCCTTGCTGGTGAAGAGGGGCCCCTCAGAAGGGCTTGGCTGTGGCTGTGCATCCAGAGGGAGCCAGGCTGGGGCACAGCTGCGGCTCTGAGCCCGGCGCTGGGCCCGATGACACCAGCCCTGGTGCAGTCTGTGCCCCAGCTGGCCAGCACCACTGTGTGGGCCAGGGACGGATGATGCCACTTGCTATTTTTGGGGTGGCAGGAGTCGGGTTTAGCCACGTGTGCAGGACAGCCTCGCCCGACCCCCACAGTGCCAGGGCACTGCCTGGGGTTATTCAGCAGTGCCAACGTCCCCTTTCCAGCTCTGCCCCATCACCAAGCCCTGCCATGGTGGCAGCGGCTGCCTGTACCTGCTCCCTGCCCACCTGAGGAGGGGCTGCAAAGGCTGGGCAAGGAGCAGGGGCATGTGGGGCACTGGGGTCTAACCAGGAACACCTCACCCAGCCTTATATTTTTAGCTGGCTAATTGCGAGAGCAGAATGTCCTCAGCTTTGCTGCAGGATGCTCCCGCTCGGTTCCTGGCAGAGATTGATCTCGAAATGCCAGTTGCTCTCCAGGGGCGCTGGCTCAGATGGATTGCCACAGTTTGCGCTGGTCCCAGGCGCCAGCACTCCATCATCCCTGCTTCCCAAGCAGCAGGGGAAAGAGACACCCAGAAAAGGCATTATTTTTCATTCTCCTGAGAGGAAGGTAAAAAATTTCACGGGAGCACATGTGTGCATGCATGTGTGCCAGCACAGAATTACAAGCCTGAATCCTGCAGGCTGTTTTCTGACAGTGTGCCCATTGAAGCTTTGCCCTGGGAAAGGAGTGTAGTAAAACAGCCTTTTACAGTCTCCTCCCTGAGTTTGTTCCCTCCTTGCAGGCTGGTTTCCAGCAGGAGGAATTATTAAAGCCTGTGATGAGCAGAGCAGCTTGAGGGCATCCCGGGCTGGAGTGGATGCTGGGGCAGGTCTGGCTGGGGGGCTGCTCGTGGACCAGCTGCCACCCCTCGCTGCTGGGGATGGCTCCCCTGCCCGCACCACGAGCTGTTTTCCAGCTCTCTCTGACCTTGTTTGTGGAAGGACACTCAGGAGTGTGAGCTGAATCAACTTGAAGTATATTTGGCAAAGAGCCAAATATAAGCTTCTGTGTGCCTTCTGCACCTTTAGTGTCTTGGGATGGTTTGCCTTAATGTGCCTCCTAAGAGTTCCCGATGTCTCCAGGGCTCCCCAGGACACCTGATTTCTGCAACCTGCTGGGACATGTCTGGCTCTGCATCTGGAGGTGTGCGCTGGGAGGCTGCAGTCAAGTTAATGGCCTTTTTAAGGCCATTAATAAAAGACATTTGTAGCTTTTATTGGGGTCCGTGGAGTAGTTTAGTTTGGCAGGGGGTGTGCTGGCCAACACCTGCAGGAGAAGGCCTGGAGCTGCAGTGCCTTTGTGGGCATGGGCAGGACGATCATGATGTTTTGGGAACCCCATGTGCCAGGCCACCCCTGCACCAGGGGACACGATGACAAGGCCAGTCTGGGCAGGCGGTGGGAGGAACCCACGGCCCAAAATGCAGCATAAAGTGTGATGAGCAAACAGGGCAGGGAACCACCTCCTGCACCAATGAGAGCACAGACACACTGCTGCTGAAGGACCCTGCCTTGCATGAGGGGGAGGCAGGGATGCAAGCAGGGCAGAGCAGCCAAACTCCTTGTTAGCTTACAGGGGATGATGCTGAAACAATGATCTTTGTCTGCTCCCGGGGTGAAAGCAGGAGGGTGAGTTATTGCTGGGAGCAGAGGAGGGATGATGAGCATCTTCTGCCCACAGCTGATGGGCCCTGAGGAGAGGAGCACTAGTGTCTGTGCCCTGCTTCCACTGCACCAGCCTGCCTGAATGTGTGTTCCACAGGGTTAGAAACTCCATTTCTTGACTGGTTTCATTGAGATGCCAAAGCTCTGCTTCTCATGGGGGTATGTCCTTGGACTGGAAGCTTTGTGGGCAGCAAGGTCCTAGTCCAGCAGCAGGTCACCCTCCTCAGCTCTCCCAGAGGTTTTGGTGTGGCTGCAGGTCATCCTGCCTTGAACCAAGTGTGAGCTCCCCCCAGGCAGGAGCCCTGCTGTGAACCCAAGAAGCCCTGTGGTGAGCAAGCCCCTGGCAACGCTCCAGAGCTGTCAAAGGGATTCACCTGCAGATGAATCTAGCCCAGTGACCTTCTGGGGCCTTTAGCCAGCAGCTGGATCCCACCCAAGCACCCACACGCCCAGCTGTGCTCGAGCTCCCCAGCCCCAGCGAGGGCTGGGAAACCACCACTATTCCCAGCGGCCTGCCTCCTGCCCTGCTGCCACCTGCTGCCACCTGCTGCTGCCCCAGCAGGGCAGGGTGGGGACACAGGGTAGAGCAACTGCTTTCCTTGCACATTAATGCCTGTGGTGGATCACAGTGCTCCATACTGGAGAAGTAACTCCCTTGCATCCTACCCCAGCGATGTTTTTGCTGGGATGCCACCAGCACCAGCCCTGAAGCTGCCCCCAGGATGGGTGCTAGGCGAGGGGCTGTACCTGGGAGCCATGTGCAGCCCTGGTGGCTACAGACCTGCTCGCTGGTGCACCCAGCAGGCTGGGCATTGTGCAACAGGGATGCTGGCACCATCTCACCCAGGCAAGGGATTCAGATTTGTGGATGCTGCAAATTATAATAAGGCTGGGGGAAGAGCCAGCTGCAATCCCAAGCATCACTCGTCCAGGGCCAAAGCATCACTGCTGCATTATTTCTCCTGCCCTGATGGTGACATGCCATCACACTGCTCCTGTCAGTCTTCTCAGCCTGGTGCTCATGAATCAAGCAAAGCTAGAATGCGCTGGAGGGCCAGTCAAAGCCACCCACTTCAAACGCCACTTCTCAGGCCTTTGCTAGCTCTTTCCTTGGCATTTTGGAACATAGTTTCACTTTCACTTGTGCACTGAGGCAGCAGGATTTCTCCTCAGTGGTGCAATGCTGGGGTGGCAATGCAAATGTGGTGACTCTGGGCTAAGAGCCACATGGGGTCTGACTTTTTTTTTTTTTTTTTTTTCTGACTTTGAGGAGAAAAATTATGACTGTGTGTTTCAGTTGTCATTCCACTGGATAACAATGACCGAGGAGATCAGTATCAGGGATGGGAAATGATTAATAGGACTCACAGCTTGCTGTATTAATGGCCCTGGAGTACAGGTTGGCAGGAGCAAAGGAAAGCAGATGAAACTGCCACCTTCTTGGCTCTGGTCCTTTGGTACATGTTATTGCTCAGTTCAAAATGTACTTGGAAAGTGTCCCAGCCTATATGTAATTTTTATAGTAAACTCTCAAGTGCAGAGAGCCATTGCCCAACCAGAGTCTCTGTCGTGTGCAGCAAGCCGAGATGCTTAACTTTGTTTAGGAAAAAAGAAAGGGCAAAATATTTACAAACCAAAATCCACCGGGCAACAGAGCCACTTCTGAACTGCTGCCTGGTGGTGTGCATCGCAGGGAGGGATGATGGTGGGTGGGCAACACATCCACCTTGGTGGGTAAGGAGCCGTAGCTGCAGGGGCTAGCCTCAGAAGTTCCTGCTGCGAAGCAGAAGCACGGAGCTCTTCTGGCACTTCATGTCTGTGGAGATGAGGTGACCCCACCCCCTGGCTTGCGTCACTTTGTGTTGCATTTTAATTCCAGGGCTGTTGCTAACAGTGTTTGGGAAGTCCCAGAATGTGGGAGGTCAGCAGCTGGGACATGGTTTGTGTTGTGGGACTCTCATTTCCCTCATGCTCACACAGACAGGTTCCTCTGGGCCTGGGGAGTCCAGCCAGCCTGGGGTCTTGACCTCGGTGGTGGAGGGGTTCTCCAGTGGTAGCTGGAGTTCTCCGGAGAGCCCAGAGGCCAGTGTCTCCAGAGCCCTGTACGGGTGCTGCAGGCGTGGGGCAGGTTTAGCTCCGTGCATTTTCTCCCACATCCCCCTGTGGGTGGGACTGGGGCCATGTGCTGCTTACCCTGTGTCTGCCCTGTACCCCATCCAGACCCTGCTCAGCTGGGCCCTCCCAGGCACAGGAGGACACGGCCTCCCCTGGTCACTGGACCACCATGCACATTTGTGTGTGCATGCCGGAGTGCTCTGGCCAAGAAAGGCCACCTCCTCCCTGATCCCTGGAGCAGCTCACAAACGTAGGCACAGAGCTATGTAAGTGTTGTCTCTGTGGCTATTTTGTCTCCCTAGATAATTTGTGAAGATGTGAATGAACAGCCCTCTGTCCAGGAGAGCTCACTGTGTCCTGCCTGGCCACCGCAGGGCATTTGAGAAGCTCTGACCATCAGCCACAGTCAAAGTGTTTGCTGACTATGGGGGAAAGAGCAGGCAGGCAGGGATGGGAGCAGGGACTTCCCAACCTCAGCGCTCACAAATGCCAACTTCTGCAGCCTAGGAAAGCAAGCAGAGGCCAGGCAGCCACGGCCCTGCTGTGTCACCCACCCCTGTCACCAGCAGCTGCTGCCTGGTTTTTCTTCCTTCACCCAAAGATCCTGCAGCTACAGGCCTGGGTGCCCACAGGTGACCGCTGTGAAGAGCTGGTGCCCTGCACTGGTGAAACAGTCCACTGCACACCATCCAAAACCCCGCCCTGAGCAGCCCAGCTGGACCCCAGCAGCTAGCTCTCCACCCTCCCTGCTTGGGCCCATTGGGCTGCACAGCAGGAGGCAGGGTGGCAACCTGCAAACTGGGCAAGAGGCGACAGTGGGGTCTCAATCCCGAAATGGCCCAGCAGGTCTGGGAGGAGGGACTTGGTGGGCAGTGCTGCTGGTTCCTGTCCTGGGCACAGGTGTTAGCTGACTGCTCCAGTGTCCAACCATCGGTTCCTGGGCAGGCTCACAGAGGAAAAGTCAGGGCATTTCGGAAGTGAAGCACCTTGTGAATGAAGCTGGTAGCATAGACCTCGCCCAGCTCAAAGCAAGCCAAGTCCTGAGCTTCAAAATGTCACTAGACATGGCTTTTATATCTGCAGCTAAAGGGCACGTTGCCATTCATATCCTGGCAGACCTTTCAGCTTCTTTCAGTGATTCAGGATTGAAAAAACTGGCTTTACTCAAGACTTACAGAAATTCAGAGAGCATGATGACATGGTTTCCAGTTAGGTATGAGACACGCTGTGGTCTCATGGAGCAGTATCCATAGGCAAAGGCTTCTTCCTGGCCAATGGGGAAGCCCCATACCCTTAGGGCAGACATGGCCCAGACCTCAGCTGTTCACATTGTCCAACCCAACGTACGACCTTGCTGGGTTTGAAGCAGACAGACCCCTGTAGGGATCTTCACAGTGGCACCTGTCCTCTGCTCTACACCCTGGCAATTCATGGTTCCTGAACCAAGAGGTGGACCTATTCTATGGTCTTCAAGCCACTGCAGCACCAAGGCACTAAACTTCTAAACAGTTGGCTACAATTTGAGGGTGAGAAGCTTTTTGCTATGTCCATCCCCTGCCTCAAGGCAGTCCCCGTGTGGGACAGATCATTCCCAGGCAAGCTTGCCCTGAGGACAGAGAGCTATTGCAGCCATCTGCAGCAGTCATTTGTAAGTCTTGCTTTCTCTAACCTACATGCATTTTTAAAGATCAATTAAGTAGATGAAATCTTAAAATGCCATCTAACATGTGTCTGCCTGAGCCCAGGAGCCAGTGCATCAGCAAAACGCAGCCCTGAAGGGCTCCCAGCTGCCGTCTGGGGAGTGAGGCTAAAAACGTAGCTAGACCGAGTTAGAGGAGAAGGGACCTCTGAACGTCATTCGCTCCTTGACACATGAAAATATTGGGGGAAAACCTGACTTTCTGGCAGTTTCTAAACATAAAATAAGATGGGCTGGACTGAGCAACCCGTGTACTGTGAACGAGCCGCCTGACTCTGTTGTTTGCAAGACCTGTCCCGGAGCTGGCAACTGGTGACCTGGGTGGCCACGGCTCCTTGTTGAAGGGGCTCCCATGGCAGAGCTCTGTCTGTTGAGGGTCTTCCACATGCCCCTGAGGAGAAGCCTAGCCAGACTAGTCAGGCAAGTGTGGTGACACTGACTCCCTGCTGGCAATGTCCTACCCAACAAGAAGAGGGTCTAGCTATGGCAAGCTGCACCAAATGCTACTGTGTATTTTCCTTAGCTCGTGCCAAGAGTGAATCCACTAGCTGACACCTTACCAAGCATTGCTTGGACCCTTGAGTTGGTTTTTTGTGGGACAAATGCAGCCGCTGGAGGTGGGAACCCATTAAGAAAGGGGACCTTTAGGCGTTTGCAGCGTAAGGTTGGATTTTCCATGGCAAACCAATCTATAAAGCCACTCCTGATCTGCTGGGAGTATGTGCAAGAGGAGGAAGGCATTCTCAAAAGAGCTTATACTGCTTTTTCCTTCTTCTTGCTTCCCTGAGCGCGTCATGCTTTCCTGTGTTACTGAAATCTAGTGTCAAACTGCCTCTCCCCATTGCAGCATCCCCATCTATAAAAACAGGAGCCAAAACTTTCCCATTAACATGGGGCACGGCGAGGGTAACTCCTAATGACTGTAAAGTGCCTTGGAGACAGCGAGTGTAATAGGCAGCCTAATAATTAGCACTGCTATTTGATTACAAGCCTGGGTGGCTGGCAGCGGGACCGCACAGTAATACTCGCAATCTCTTTGTCTAGTACCTGCCCCTGAACGGAGAGTTCGTGCTGGCATCTGGAGCAGGATTCGCAGCTTCTGACAGCAGCTGGGATCCAAGCTGTGACTCAGGTACTTTGTGCCCAAACCAGTCACCCCATCAGCCCGTGATTAATCGTGAGAATTCAGCCCAAACGCTTCTACAAAGGTCTTCACTGTCCCACCTCAGAGCAAACTGAATCACTCCTCTTCTAATAGCTAGTTTTTCTTTGATGACCTCCCTCGTATCAGATCTTTTTTACCTGCTGGATCACCTGTCTTCTAAAAAAGTAATTATAGTAGAGGAGCCTTTGAAGTTGAACCAGAGAGGCAAATATTGTTTGTATTTTACCCTGCCTGTTAAGCATGTAGCCACATCAAAGCTCTCATTTTCTTTGCCGTGGATATTTCTAAAGAAAACTGGTTAGGAGTTCCACACTGGTGAGCTGAACCGGAGCCATGACAGGCAGCTGGCCTTTGGCCCGATGCGCACAGGGATTTTGGCATGAGCACATCCTTCCCTTGCCTCTGAGCCTCCAGCCCAGGTTTGCCGTGACTGAAACAGCAGGTTTGTTTCATCGGTGCCTCTTATTAGTCTGCAAGCTATTTGCTAGGGAAATGTATTTTAGGTATTCAAGACCTACCTAATGTTCTCAGTGGCATAAATCGCATTTTAGTTCAATCGAAGGAAAGAAGTCCAAGCAGAGTGCCTGTGCCTATACTCTATCTTGAAAAAAAACAGAAACAACATAAGAAAAAGAAAGAAAAAGCCCAAACAGGACTGCTCAGAGGAAGGACTGCAGCATCAGGCTGTCTGGAGCCACCCTGAACTCCTTCAGTCCTATAATTTTTCTGCTTTGGGGCTGTTTGCCCCCCTGCATCAGAGAAGCTCTAGCAGCTATGTTGCGCACTGGGCTCGTCCTGCTGACCACACACTGCTCCCTGAAATCAACAAGTCTTTCTGGGGCAATTTTCACAAATAATTTTTTTTTAAACTATAATTTTAAAACAAATGCAAATAATTCAATAAGTGCCTGCATGCCATCTGACTCGGTGAAGATTCAGCACTTGGGGAAGGGTGGGAAGGAAGCAGGGCACTGCGTGGTGATGCTAACTGTGTCCAGCAGGGAAAAGGTTAACGGTTAAATAATTAATGGGGGCCCTGGTTTGGGGGTTAACTTGCTGCAGGGAACAGGGCTGGTCACGTTTCTGCAGGCCTGCCAGGCTGCTTGGAAACTGGGACGTGAATTCTCTTATGCATTTCTATCTGCTGCGTTTGGGCAGCTGTTTTCCTCCCTAACCACTGAAGAAGAGGGGGGAAAATATCCTGGGGGATTTGGGGCTGTAGGCCTGCAGCCAGAAGTGGGGTCTGGGCTGAACTGCTGAGATCCCAGCCCTGAGTGCTGGAAAGCTCTGCCAAGCTCCAGAATGTGACCGCAGTGGCTGCCCCCTTCACTCCCTGCCCACAGGGCGAGTTCCCCCACTTCAGGCCAAGCAGTGCTGGGTTTACCAACCCAGATGTGTCTGCTGGGGCTCCAGGCTTGGGTCCAGATCACGCTCCACCTGTGCTGTTGCTTTTGAAGGTGCCACAGTGAGGTTCACCGACGCCGAGCACCGCGCGTGGTTTGACCCCACGCTGTGGCAGGCTGTGCCCAGTGGCAGGGAGCTCGAGCTAAGCAGGCACATCTTCTCTGTGGATGAGGAACGTGTCCCGTGCCAGTATGACGATGTTGTCTTCTGGCCCGACACCTCCTTCCGGGTAAACATCGACTCGTCGCAGCAGGAGATTCATCTTCGCAGCATCTCTCTCATGGGCCAGGTAACATGGGGGTGATGAGAGCCTGGCTTGACACCTCCTTGCCGTGTCCCCACGGTAGGTCAGGAGCGGAAGGACCAGCCAGGGATGGAGGAGCGGCACCGCACAGAGAGATGGAGCACTCCCACAGCACTCCAGCTTCATGGCCTGCTGCTGCTGGGCATGGGCTCAGTTGTTTTTTTTTTTTCATCTATCAGTTTATTATCACCTCCCTCCCTCGGGAGTAGGAGCACAGGCCGGGCCACGATTCACAGCTTTTTAAAACTGGCCAGCGTGCACGGGTCAAGCCACCAGCAAACGGCACCTTCTCCAGCACCCAGGGACTGACCCCTTCCCAAGCACGTGTCTGCAGCTGCACTGCTCAGGGACCCTCCGGGGACACCTCCCGCCCACCCCTGGCCCGAATGTGGCCCCTCGCCCAGCCACCACCTCCCGGCCCTGCTCCAGCGCCGCTCTTTAATTGATTGGAGGGATAATTGGAGCAAGGCTGCAGCCTGCGGTGCCACGGCCCGGGGCTCAGGCGCACGGCAAGCCCCGTCCCTTGCCAGGCGGAGGAGTGAGAGATTACAGGCACTGCTGCAGCAAACACTGGCTCCTTCCAGCAGTGGGAGATGTGGCAGACCTTTCATAAGTTATTCATTATTTCTGCTGCTGAGCTGTGCTGCCTGGCATCTGCCATTTCAGGGTCAGGCATTAGGTAACTAACTGCTCTTTGACTAATAAGTTCAGCCGGTGTCTGGGCAGGTGCAGGCAAGTCTGGACAAGGCAGCACCCCAGTGGAGCTCACCCAAGTGTAACCCCACGGATGGAAAGATGGGTGGTCCTGGGTGCTCAGAGTGATGATGGTTCCAGTGATGCCTAGGGACTACTACTATGTACCCCACAGCACATCATCACCCCCCAGATCCACCCCCTCAGGGACTGCAGCAGGTTGTGCCCTGGAGTGGAGGCTGCTGCTGAGCCATGAGATGGAAAGAGAAGGTGTTTTTTATTTTTGTAATTAAAACATATTTCCTAAAAAATTACCATACAAGCTATTTTGTCCCTTTGTAGACAGCCCAATCCTTGCTCTGTGTGTGCTGTTTTCACCCCAGGGCCTGGGAGACCATCCTGTTTTGCCAGGGGATGGAGAAGCCCACTGTGGAGGGAAGTACTGTTGGCTTGGCAAGACAAGGCTGGTCAGTCCAGCTCAGCCTCCACTAATGCCAAGCCCACAGAGATGCTTGCCATATTGAAGGAAAACAGCTCAGCTCCAGCCCCTTCCTCCCAGTAATTAAAAGCTGATAATTTGAATTCTGTGGGCCAGCAGAAAGGGAGAAATGAAGACGAAAAATAAAGCCCATCCATCTCATGCTTTATTTGTGGTCTTTTCTTTTAAAAAAAATAATAACTAGGAAATGTTTTCCTGGCCGCCCCACAGAACACGCGGAACGGCTGTGCCGGCAGCTCTTCCTGCTGCCCCACGCCGCCCGCCCGACG